TTGTTATTCTTTTAATAAAAATACTGAGAAATAATCACTACAGTCCTGAATACTTATATTTTGTTGTATAATCAACATTTTAAAATGGTGACATATCTTAACTTCTAATATCATTACATATTTTTGACTGTTTTACTGAAATTGGGGAAAGGATTAAGTTTGCTGTCTTGGAGAATGTTCTTACTGTTTCTGCATAAGCTAAGTTAAGCTTCTAAAACATTAGTTACTCTTACATTGGATCAAATGGAATGTGGTAGAAGGATAGTCAAATCTCATCTGTTAGGGATGAGCTGGTGGCAAAGAGAGTACAAAATTCTGCTGTTCACATTGTAAAATTATATTTCATTATTGTCTTTGTCATAACTCTAACTACACAGCAGCCAATTCTACCTCCTTTGACCTTGGCCTCCCTTGTCCAGTGACTCCTTGTCTCAGGTTGTCAAGTATTTTACTTCCTATTAGTACAAAAGACTTCTTAAGAGGCAAAGTCAATGAGACTGTTCAGTTTTAGGGGTTCATGCTGGCTGTTTTAAAACTTACAATAGCTAGATCAGTACTCATCCCAAGTATACACACGGACTTTGGACTCTCATCCAACAATGTGAGATGCACTCTCACCCTGAACTCTTGGGGGAGGGTCTAGGCCCTGCCCTGTATGAAATGACAGACTATGGACACCCCCATGGAGGGCCTCACCCTCCCTGGGGAAATGAGAGGATAATGGGGGGGGGTTAGGGGAGGGCACAAGAGGAGGGGAGGGAAAGGGAGAAGGACCTGGAACTGACTTGTTTCTAATCTAAACCTTGTTTCTAATCTAAATTTAAACTGAAAAAAAAAAACTTACAATAGCATGGAACTCATAGCAAAGGAAATAACGGAATTCTAAAGTTAGCCACCAACTTGTTCCAGAATGTTGACTGTATATTCATAAACAAATCTATTCTAATTTAATGAGAAGTGATGTAAAACTTTACATCTTGACCTACAGCCTTTGTGAAACATGTATCTATATGATTGTAAGCAACTTTGACAGGTGCCGCTAGCTGAACACTGTCAATCTGCTAAACTTGTTGTGCCTTTATAATCTAAATGTTAGATGCTGAATGCTCACTATCAGCATTTTCTAAAATGACACGTAGAACTATTTGCTCATTACGTTTTTTGAAAGACATTGTTTCTTACTGCTTTTTGCCACTAGATGGAAGAAGTAGGTTAACAAAATGATATTTTTGGTGCTTCAGCTAACCCTGCCCAGAAACAACCAGAAAACTGTGATTAAAACAAGGGTATAATCAGCAGTCTTTTATTTGTTTTTATTTCAGTATTAATTTTTATATGAATACTGGACCTAAGAACAGCATTTTTTAGAGTTAAACTTTCTTTTATGATTTTTGAGAATTATAAATTTTCATGGTAAGCAAGAACAATTGTCAGCTGGAAGAGTTATAAAATTATACCTAAAATTTTGGTAACATATATATCAGAAAGTAATTCTTAGTAATTATTCAAGGAAACATGCCCCCATATGAGCATTAAACCACATAATTCAGTTATTCCTTTATGTCACAAGTATGTGCCAAGCAATTTGCATATTATAGATTCAAAAGACATACTGTAAACCACTCCAGGTATTACTTGAGGATAGCTTCTCTTTATGAGATAGATCATTGTAAAAAAGATAAGAGCAAAAGGAAATACAAATACATTAATACATTTTTAAAATTCAGAAATGGGAAAATAGGTGTGCCGGGCGGTGGTGGCGCACACCTTTAATCCCAGCACTCGGGAGGCAAAGGCAGGCGGATCTCTGTGAGTTTGAGGCCAGGCTGGACCGACAGCCTCCAAAACAATACAGAGAAACCCTGTCTCATAAAACCAAAAAAAAAAAAAAAAAAAAAAGAAAAAAAAGAAAAAAAAAGAAATGGGAAAATATTAGAAATAGATATAATGTTTGGATTACATACTGCGTGGTGATGCTGGTTTGAATTGTTATTTGTATCTGATAACAACACAGTTCACTTAATGAAGAAACAAATTAAAATGGATCTTCTAAGCAAGAGGATCAAGGAATAGCACTTCAGTGAGATAGGCTGAAGGTGTAGGCACAGACGTAAGCAATAATAATTTTAAAACTATTGAAAGATTAAAGGGTCGCATTTTTAAAGTAATTTAAATATTTTCATAGAGAATGCACAATTTTTCAATAGGCGATGCATACAGGGAATGTAATAAGCTGAAACACCTTGCAGAGGAGAATAGAAGGTGCAGGGGACAGGGAAACTTCCACTTGGAAATGGAAGCTCACTTAGAATGACTAGTATATTCTAGCATCCACTTGATGGATACCAGTGTTCTGCCAAGGTGCAGACTTTCTGTGCATGTGGGTCTGGAAATTAATGGGCAGACTTCATAGGGAATTATTAAATTCAGACTTGCAAAGGCAGCTTCTTGGGACATCTATTCTCCATTTTTGCTTTTATGTATGTCTTTTGCAAGGGGAACTAAGTGGCCGCTGTCATTTTAACTACCATGAACCAATATTTAAGTTCACACCTCATACCACCTACCTTTTTTACCTCATAGTCTATTCATATAATCATTCTGTCCCAGCTACTGAAGGTGATGGACTTAAACTCTGATGTTATGAGTGTCTATAAAATTATCCAGCTTTTAAATCCAACCATGGAGTTTGATTTTATGGTCTCCTATGGAACTGTAGCTACAGGTTAACTAAAGATTGTGAAGTAATATTTCCTTTATATAATTCTGAATTTACTGCCTTGTAACTTCAGAGATCACCTTGTGCTACTGTGTGACAAGCTTTATAACATTATAATTTTGTATAACTCAGGGAAGATCTTGTAACTTTCTCTTTTCCTACTTCAGATTTATATTATTCCTCTGATATTGCATATAATTTATCACTATTTTAATTGCTAGAAATATATAGGAGAGTATATAATTTTGAAACTATATAATTTTAAGCTTCATTTTCATATTGTATACTACTATAAGTATAATGAAATTAAAATTATTTTACATTTTATTATATAAAATACTATGCATTCAATCCTATTTAAATTACATGTATGTGTGATACTACAAAGAAGTACTAGGCTACATTCAAATAATCATGTACACAATTTCCATTTAATATAATTTTTATCCCCTTGTTTTCTGTCAAAGCAACTTCATGCTCAAGGCCTGTGAGATAGCTCAGCAGGTAAACCATTGCTGCACAATTCTAAGGACCTGATTTTGTTACCTACACCCCATGATGGTGAGAAAACCAACCCACATAAGTTGTCCTCTGACCTTCACACGTGTACCTTGGCAGGCACATGCATACATACCCCCACACCCGCACCTACCCACCCTCCCACCCACCCACCCACTCATTCACACATACATATAAAATTTAAAATATAAAAAGCAACTTTGTTTTAATTAGTATAGATGCCTATTTTCATGAACTCAAAATAATAATTCTAGTTATTTTTAATATATCTAATAAAGGCATTAGCCATGCTTGGATCTCATTAGATAGGGATAGTAATTCTATTGTGCTGCCCTTTCATACTTTTTAATGATTTCTAATAACAATTAGGGTAGTCACCAGTCTGATTACAGGAGAAGGCCAGTTCAGGTACCCTCTCCACTATTGCTAGGAGTCTTAGCTGGGGTTATCCTTGTGGATTCCTAGGGGTTTCCCTGGCTCCAGGTTTCTCCCTAACTCCAAAATGACCCCCCCATCAAGATGTCTCTTTTGTTCCTCACTCCCTCTGTCCATATGGGGGTGTCCATAGTCTGTCATTTCATCCAGGATAGGGCCTAGACCCTCCCCCCAAAAGTTCAGGGTGAGAGTTCATCTCACATTGTTGGATGGGAGTCCAAAGTCCATGTGTATACTTGGGATGAATACTGATCTACTGCCCAAGGCTCAATAGATTACCTAGGCCTCCTTACTGACACCCCCATTCAGGGGGTCTTGATCAGTCCCATGTTGGATTCCCAGGCATCAGCCTGGGATTCAAGAGTTAGCCCTTGTCAGGTCAGCTGTTTCTGGGGTTAAACCAGCCCAGTCTTAACTCCTTTGGTCATCAGTCCTCCCTCTCTGTTACTGGCTTTCTTGAGTTCAGCTCAGTACTTAGCCGTGGGAGTCTGCCTCTTCTTACATCAGCCACTGGATGAAGTTTCTGTTTTCCAGACTCTCTGGCCATGGGATTGTAGGCTGGCACTCCCCAGATCTATGTCTAAAATCCATATATGAGAGAGTACATGCCATGTTTCTCTTTTTGTGACTGCGTTACCTCACTCAGGATGGTTTCTTCTAGTGTCATGATGGGATCGTTTTCTAAAAGGGCTGCTTAAACCTGTATCATTCAATGCTTATAGAAAATTATTCTTGGACTTAAAGTTTGCTTCCCCTCCATCATAATCCCTTTGGTTAATTTTCTTTACATATTGAGAAATAAATAAGTGAGGTAACATGGGTGTATCTAGCACTAGGAGTATTATGTTACAGAAAGGGAATAAGAAGTTACATTGAATTGACTTCAATTCTATTCTTAAGATCCCTTTCTTTTACAACATTTGATAAGAACTACTTGAAATAAAGACTATGGGCTTGGAAATAAAATTTTACCAAGGTAATTAGGGAAAATTGGAATAGAAAAATACATTTTAAATAAGACTTCAAATTTCTTAGGGTTTTTGTTCTTATATGCCTCAAAATATTTTTCAATATCAAATCTCAGCAGCAAATTTCTTGCTAAATTGTCCCAAGTGTTGCTCACGGTTCCAGCATACATTCTAATGTCAGCCCCCTGACCAGCATCCCTTCTGTGAGCATCTCTCCTCCCAGCACTCCTCATTTCCCATTGCCTCTTATGCTCCATTCATAAACCAATCCCCTTGGCTTTTACATGGCTCTGGGCTTTTGCTCATGCTATTTCTTCCTATTGTAATATTCTCATTTCTGGTTCTGTTCCTAGATATCCCGTGAAGTCTTTGCTGGCACTCACTGCACTCCTCATTCTAACTATCTGTGCTGCATGCTGATAATCTATTAAGGACTTCTGTGAAGGCACTTTCACACTTTTTTCTGCAGTGCTGTGTTTTCCATCAGACTACAAGCCACTGGAAGGTAAGGAAGACATTTTGTAGTTCCAATATCTACTATAGAAAATATATGGGCATACAATGAAGTCTTTCTTTATTAATTGGTTAGTTCTTCCTAAGTATTTGATGCATGCCAAATACGAACATTCTTCTAATGTATTTTTGGAGGACTACACAGAAGTCAGTGACTTTCAAGGAAAGCAACCAATGAAAGTATATTCAGAACTGGGGATATGACTCAGTCGGTCAAGTTCTTGCTGTGCAAGCAGAAGGACTTGAGTTTCCCCAGAACCAAGGGAAAAAAATCAGAAATGGTAGTGTTTATTCCAGGAACTTAGTGCTGGAGACACAGGTGGATCTTCTGAGCTTTCTGGACAGTTTATCCAGTCCATGACCTCGAGTTCAGTGAGAAACCTTGTCGCAAAAGACCTCAGTCGCCCAGGACTGAGAGGCCAACAACAGAATAGAAGGGTCCCAAGAGCTCGCTGGCCAATCAGTCTATCCCAATGGTTGCCCCCAGGTTCAGTATGAGACTTTGTCTCAAAAATAAGGTGGAGGGCCATAAAGGAAAATGTTTAATATCAAGTTCTGGCGTGGCTGCTGAGTACTTGTATATGCCACACACACTATACACAAGACAGGATGTGGGAGGGAGGGGGAAACACACACACATACACACACACACACACACACACACACACACACACACACACGAGAGAGGGGGGGAGAACTGAATGATGACCTCTGGTCATGTGTGCATCTAGTTACACACATGCACACCTATGTGCTACACCTGTGAAAGAATGAAAATGACTAAAGAGGGGATACCTCAGTTAGTAAAGCACTTGCAAAGGAAGTGTGAAGGGCGTGTTCGCATCTCTAGAACCTATGTAAAGATGTCATGGTGGGTCTCTAATTCTTGTACCCCTATGGTGAGATAGTAGGTAGAGCTAGAAGGTGACTGGAAGCTCATGGGCCAAGTAGATTGGCATATTTGACGAACAACAAGAAGCCTTGCCTCAAGCATGATGGAAGACGAGAACAGGCACACATGGTATACACAATGGAATACATAGAAAGCATAACACACACACACTTGACACACAGAGAGGAACAGGGGCTGGGACTTAAGGTTTACTAATGGATGAATTCCCATCAACCCCAGGGCTCCAGGAAAATCTCTGACCCTGGGAAGATGATAGTAAGGGCTATAGACATCATTAAGATCAACTTCTCTGAAATTAGAGTCCTTTGTCTGTATCCTATGCCAAATTGACATCCACATTTAATGCCTGCAGGCTTTCAGAAACATAAATATTTCTGGAAAATCATTGTGAAGCAGTGAAAGTAGAATATTTTCATCAATAATGGATAAGTTGCCTTGACTTTCAATAACAAGGGCTTTAGGATATTACATGGTATTTTAAAACATTTAAAAATATATTGTATATAAAATTATCATTAATACAGTATTAGGCTTCCTTTCTTTGGTTGTGACCTTCTACTAACATTTATTTTCTTTGTTTTTTCTGAATTAAATTTCTTAAGATGCTGCTTGTTTTTAATGGGCACTAGGAAGGCACAGACAGGTGGATTACCAGAGTTCAAGGTAACCTGGTAAAGAAAACACTGTTGCCCAATAATTTTTACAGTGATTATTTTTGTAGATAACATTCTACTTCCAAGATAGAACTAAAAGCAAAGCTCAGAACCCCAAGCATCTGTCTAGAAGAGAAAAATAATACCTCAGCTCTAATATAACAACCTCATCTTTATTGAACATTGAAAACACGTACATCAAAAGAATAGGATTTTAAATATCTAGTTTATAACCTAACACCAGTTTGTGCAATTTCCAATGTAAAATCTTAAGTAAAAGGGAAAAAAGGCAACATGATGCCTTTAAAATGTACTAATCCACATTAATGCCTCCAAAAAAAGCAAAAATAATAAAAACCTTAAATTAACAAAAAACAGAACGTAGTTTTGCACTATGGAGGCATAGAAAGGTGGATACCTGAGTTCAAGTAACCTTGTAAAGAAAACGCTGCAACAAGAAACACGTTATGAGACTGGGGAGGTGAGTCGGTAATTAACAGGACTGCTGCTTTTCCAGAGGACCTAAGTTCCATTCCCAGTACCATGTCAGGCAGCTCATAACCTGTTAACAACAGCTATGGGATATCTGAGACCTGACTTCCTGTTCAGTGTTCAACAGGTGCATGCCCATGTGCTCCCTCCCCAGGCTACTGGATGTAACCATGTTAAACAGACTGAGCCCGTCTTAGAAAGACAGATATTGGATGTCTTAGCATATGTGTGTTTCTAATTTTATATAGATACATAAAATCATACAAGCATGCATGTCATGAAAGTAGAAGTAAAACTGCCTACAGGAACAAAGGAGACTAATGGAAGAGGAGAAAAGCACGAAGGCATGGGAATGTAGGAACATACTCAAGGTAATTATGTATTTTCATAAAATGGCCTTATGCAATCAATATACTACTATGTACAATGAATACACACACACTGAAAATTAAAAGGAAAATAGGAATGGTTTTTATTTAAAATGTCTTAATTTCTTAAGTTCTTTAAAATCTTTATATTTTAAAGATTTTTATAAGCCTCTTCAGGCATTATTTCAGATCACAGGTATACAGTTATGGAATAAAATGGCAAAAGTTCTTTTCTCATGGAGTTTTTATTGAATGTGTTCATAGGGCAGGGGTTATGGCTGTATTGAAAACAATCTTTCTCCTTTCTCTTTTGAAGCAGGGTCTTGATTCATAGCCTTGAATTTTTCAGCCTCCAAGTCCTGGGATCACAGGCTTGCTATCCTACTAAAACAGTTTAGAACATGTTAGAGAGACTATGCAACTGGCTTATAACTGTGAGCATGTAGCAAGGTATCTTAAGCAACTCACTTGCATTATCTTACTGCATCTTCTATTGGGAAGTAAGTGCTTTTATTATATTTACTCTATAGCTGAGGAAACTGGGAATAGTATATGACAAGTCAGAGATTTGAACACAGATTCTTTCTCACGGAGAAGCCTATATTTTTAACCACAGTACTGTGTTCTTTCTATGCCCAGAACATTGGGATGTAAGAGAAAAATCTCAACTAATGGTTACTGAATTATTTCTAATAAAAATATTTCTATTCACATTGCAATAATGGCTTTCTGTCAGGTAATAGAAATGCCACAAAGATTGGTGAGCTATAGTTCTTTACCTTATTTGCTTTAATTAAGCTTACTAATAAACTGGAGAGAGCCATTTACTAACTTGCTTGCAAAATGACAGGATCCTGGGCATAAATATGAGCATGACAAAAGTCAACAGACAGCCTGTTATAAATTAGGACAGTAAAATCCCTTAGGACTATAACAAGAATCAATCAAGAAGTCTAAAAATGTTATTATAAATGATGAATGGAACGGATTTTCAATTCTAATTAAATTAATCTTGAAATCATTAGACATAATTTTAATTTTAGTATTCTAAATATCAATCTTAATCTCTATTTTTTTCCTTTTTTAAAAATTTAAATTAGAAACAAGCTTGTTTTATACATGTCAACCCCAGTTGTCTCTTCCTCTACTCCTCCCCTGCCCCCCACCAACCCCTATCTCATCCCCTTTCTGCTCCCCAGGAAGGGTGAGGCCTTCCATGGAGGATCTCCCCGTGTGTCTAGGCTGAGAGAGTATCCCTCTATGTGGAATGGGCTCCCAAAGTCCATTTGTATACTAGGGATAAATACTGATCCATTGCCAGAGGCCCCATGGATTTCCCAGGTCTTCTGACTGACACCCACATTCTGGGGATCTGGGTCGGTTTCCCAGCTATCAGTCTGGGGTCCCTGAGCTCCCCCTTGTTCAGGTCAGCTGTTTCTGTGGGTTTCTCCAGCCTGATCTTGACCCCTTTGCTCATCACTCCTCCCTCTCTACAACTGGAATCCAGTAGTTCAGTTCAGTGTTCAGCTGTGAGTGTCTACTTCTGCTTCCATAAGCTACTGGATGAAGGCTCTAGGATGGCATTTAAGGAAGTCATTAATCTCATTACTGGGGAATGGCATTTAAGGTAGCCTCTCCACTATTGATTAGATTCTTAGTTGGAGTCATCCTTGTAGATCTCTGGACATTTCCTTAGTGCCAGATTTCTCTTTAAACCTATATTGGCTTCCTCTATTATGGTATCTCTATTCTTGCTCTCCTCTGTCCTTCCTCTGACTCAACCTTCCTGCTCTCTCATGTCCTCCTTTCCCCTCCTCCATGCTCCCAATTTGCTTAGGAGATCTTGTCCCTTTCCCCTTCTCTAGAGTACCATGCATGTCTCTCTTAGGGGCCTCCTTGTTTCCTAGCTTCTCTGGTGGTGTAGATTTTATGCTGGTCATTCTTTGTTCTATGTCTGAAATCCATATATGAGTGAGTACATTCCATGTTTTCTTTTTGTGACTGGGTTACCTTACTCAGAATGGTTTCTTCTAGTTCCATCCAATTTCAAGATCCCATTTTTATTTTTTATTTTTTCCGCTGAGTAGTACTACAGGTTGACTCGCCCCCAGCAGACAAAACATTAATCCTACATTCTTAAACAATTTTTGTTGTTTTTAAAGGATGCAGCCATCTGAGATATTTTTATTTTATAAAACTTACAGTATTTTCTAGACATTCTTATTTCCTAGTAATGTATTCCTTGATTATATACATGGTTTACTTCTAAAAGTTATACTTTACTTCCTATTGCCTTCCTTTGCCTGTTTGTATATAATTTTCTATTTATTAATTTATTTATTGTGTTCTCTCAATTTTCTCTCCAACCTTTCATTTACCCACTTGGCAGAGAATCACAAAAGCTAGACACAGGAGAGATTTCAGGACTTTATTTACATTTTGATTCAGTTAGAAATTCCTCCTCTGTTTCACCAGAGAAGCATGTTCTCTAGCTTTCATTTGGCTCTTTAAGGGTGGAAGTCCAAAACCACTTACAAACTCATTTCTAGAAAGCAACTTCCTATATATACTTGAAACTTGTTTTATACGCATTCTGAATGTTGGGCCGGTTTTGCCTTTTATATTATCAGAACAATTTTATTTTTCATCTATTCTCCACAGCAGTCTCTTACTAGGAAGACTTTCTCATAATATCAAAGTATCACTATATATAGATACTAAATATGTGAATACTAAATAAACCCAAAAATATATAGATACTATTTGTTCATCCCTTTGAGAAAGTTTATGTTAAGTCAAGTGCTGTATTGAATCATAGTACTTTGTGATTTTTTTATAAATGAACTCTGAAGAGTAAATATAAAAGATAAATAAGATATACAAAGTTTGTAATTTCATTTTTGTATTTCCAATTTTGAGCATTGTTGACTTATTGTTCTTATTTTTAAAACATCATTGGAAAACTTGTTTATAATTTTTTAACAGTGTGTGTGTGTGTGTGTGTGTGTGTGTGTGTGTGTGTGTGTATTTAAATATGTGGAGGTCAGAGGACATATTGTGGTAACTGGTTCTTTCCTCCATGACCTTTTCATAATTGTTTGGTAACAGCTTAGTGTCAGACATTATGAGAGTTTATGGTTAATATATACGTTGGTTGAAATGTCTAGTCAATGTGTAAAAGGTGGTAAACTGATTGTGGAATGGAGAGCCATTGGTGCATTGTTATCTCCGTTTTGTGAGTAGAATGTGATAGCATAGTATTATCAGATATTCAACACTCTTAACATGAACCCAAACAATTGATTTTTTTTTGTTTTTTTTAAGAGACAGGGTTTCTCTGTATTGTTTTGGAGGCTGTCGGTCCAGCCCGGCCTCAAACTCACAGAGATCCTCCTGCCTCTGCCTCCCGAGTGCTGGGATTAAAGGCATGCGCCACCACCGCCCGGCTTAAACAATTGATTTTGAAGATGGCATTCTCTTACTTGAGAATTAAATTTCTCAGTAACAGAAAAGCTGAAAATTTGGACAAAGTTTAGCAACATTTGCCATACTGTTAACAGTAACTGTGATGGTTCATATCAATTGTCAACTGAACAGGATCTGGAATCATCTGGGAGATAAATCTCTGGACATTTTTATGATGGATATTCTAGATTAGATGAATTGAGTGACAAGACCCAGTCTAAATGTGAGTGGTGACATTCCACAGGCTTGGATCCTGGCCTGCATAAAAATGAGAAACAGCCCCTAGAATGAATTTACCTCTGCTTCCTGAATGTAGGCACAATGTGACCAGCTACCTTGAGCTCCTGCTCCGCAATAGTGCAGCGTTTTCAATGAGCAATGCAGAGCTCTAAGGGTAGAAAACTGTTTTTTTCCTAGTTAGAGGTTTTTATTATATAAAAACATTATTTTCATTTTACATACCAATCCCAGTTTCCCCTCCCTCCCCCTCCCTCTCACCCTTCCCACGCCCCCATCTACTCCTCAGAGGGCATAAAGCCTTCCTTGGGAAATCAACAGAGTTTGGCATACCAAATTGAGGCAGAACCAAGCCCTGAGGCTGAGCAAGGTATCCCATCATAGGGAATGGGCTCCAAGAAAATCAGTTTATATTCCTGTGATAGGTCCTGGTACCACTTCCAGCCCCAACCCCACAGATCAAGTCACATAACTGTCACCTATATTTAGAGAGTCTAGTTCAGTCCCAAACAGGTTGCCCAGCCGGCATTCCATAGTTCATAGTTCGTGAGCTCCCACTTGCTTGGGTAAGCAATCTCTGTGGTTTTTCCCATCATGTTCTTGATCCCCCTTGTTCATATGATCCCTCCTCCCCCTTTTCAGATAAACTCCAGGAGTTCAACCCATTGCTTGGATGTGGGTCACTGCATCTGCTTCCATCAGTTCCTGGATGTAGATCCTGTGATGACAATTTGGGTAGTGACTAATCCGATTAAGGGGAAGGTCCATTCTGTCAGCCTCTTCACTATTGTTAGGAGTCTCAGCAGGAGTAATCCTTGTGAATTCCAGATAATTTCTCAGTACCAGGTTTCTCCCTAACTCCATAATGGCTCCCTCTATCAAGATGCCTCTTTCATTGCTCTCTCCCTCTCTCCCTTCCCCAACTGGGTCTTCTTGATCCCTTATGTTCCCACCCTTTATTCCCTTCCTTTTACCTCCTCCCAGTTTACACAGGCGATTTTAACTATTTTTGCTTCCTGGGGCTTCCATGTATGTCCCTCTTATGATCCCTCTTTATACCTAGCTTCTCTGGGGTTGTGGATAAAAGCCTGGTTATCCTTTGCTTTACCACTATTACCTACTTATGAGTAAATACATACCAAGTTTGCCTTTCTGGGTCTGGGTTACTTCACTGAAGATGTTTCTTTTCTAGTTCCATCCATTTGCCTGCAAATTTCAAGATGCCATTGTTTTTTAATCACTAAATAATACTCCATTGTGTAAATCTACCACATTTTCTTTATCTATTCTTTGGTTGATGGACATCTAGGTTGTTTCCATGTTCTAGGTATTACAAATAATGCTTCTATGAACATTGTTGAGCAAATGTCTGTTAAGGGATTCTTCCTGCCAGCCTGGTCCCAGAGTTTTGTCAACCCCAAATAACACCCAGAGACTCTATTAGTTACAATGCTGTTGTCCAATATCCAGGGCTTCTCATTGTGTAGTTCTGTGTTAAGTATTAACCCATAACATAATATATATATGTTTCTATAAGGTCTTATCTTACCGAGGACGCCAGTCACATGGTGACTCTCCACTCTTTACTACATTTCCCAGAATTCTCGACTCCTAGTACCACCTATCTTGTTTCCCTATTGGTCAACAGTGCTTTATTTATCAATCAATAAGACAAACATATACACAAAAGGACTTCCCCCATCAAATGCCCTTGTGGCATGATTGTGCATCCTTTGGGTATATGTCCAAGAGGGGTATTGCTGGGTCTTGAGGAAGATTGAGTCCCTGTTCTGAGAAGCTGCCATACTGATTTCCAAAGTAGCTGTGCAAGTATGTATTCCCATCAGCAATGGTGGAGTGTTCCACTTACTCCACATTCTCTCCAGCATAAGCTGTCATCAGTGTTTTTTACCTTAGCCAATGTGACAGGTGTGAGATGATATCTCAGAGTAATTTTCATTTTCCTGATGACTAAGGATATCAAGCAATTCCTTAAATGCCTTTCAGCCATTTGAGTTTCTTCTGTTGAGAATTTGCTGTTTAGATCTGTACCTCATTTTTAAATTAAAATATTTGGTATTTCTGTGCCTAGTTTCTTGAGTTCTTTATATATTTTAGAGATCAGCCCTCTGTCAGATGTGGGATTGAAGATCTGTTACTATTTTGTAGACTGCTGCTTTGTCTTATTGACCATATCCTTTGCCCTATAGCAGTTTCTTAGTTTCAGGAGGTCACATTTATTGATTGTTGCTCTCAGAGTCTGTGCTACTGCTGTTATATTTAGGAAGTGGTCTCCTGTGCCAATGTGTTCAAGGGTACGTCCCACTTTTTCTTCTAAGAGGTTTAGTGTACCCGGGTTTATGTTGAGGTCTTTTATATACTTGGACTTGACTTTTGTGCATGGGGATAGATGTCAATCTATCTGCAATCTTCTACATGTCAGCATCCAGTTATGCCAGCACCATTTGTGGAAGAGACTTTCTATTTCCTATTGTATAATTTTGACTTCTTTGTCAAAACTCAGATGATTACAGGTGTGTGGATTAGTATCAGGGTCTTCAATTTGATTCCATTGATTCACTCTGTTTTTATGTCAATACCAAGCTGTTTTTTTTTGTTTTTGCTTTTTTGAGACAGGGTTTCTCTGTGGCTTTGGAGGTTGTCCTGGAACTAACTGTTGTAGACCAGGCTGGTCTCGAACTCACAGAGATCCACCTGCCTCTGCTTCCCGAGTGCTGGGATTAAAGTCGTGTGCCACCAACACCCAGCCCCAAGCTGCTTTATTATTGTAGAGTTTTAAGTCAGGGATAGTGATTCCTCTGGAGGTTCCCTGTAACGTGAGTTTTCTTGCCCAGAAGGTCCTGCTGTATCCCTTCCCAAATAGACACACAGATGCTATATTAGTTATAAAGCTGTTGGCCATTGGCTTAGGGCTTCTTATTGGCTAGCTCTGTCTTAATTATTAACCCATAACTAGTAATCCATGGTCTTATCTTACCAGGGAAAGAGTCCAGACCTGTTACTCCTCTGGCAGTCTACATTGTGACTGCTCAGCATCTTCTCAGAGAAGACAGCGATTTCCTGTTTGTCCCTGTTTTATCTTGTTTCTGCCCAGCTATGTCACTTCCTGCCTGTCTGTACAGACCTTCAGACCTCTATGGTTAGTTAGTGGCAGTTCCTGCCCAGCTATATCACTTCCTTGAATCACATGACAACTTCTCTCTGCCTACACTTCCCAGAATCCTTCTTGTTTCCTAGTCCTAGCTATCATCCTGCCTGGCCAATCAGTGTTTTATTCATCAACCAATAAGACAAACATATATCCAGAAGAACATCCCCCATCAGTTCCCTTATTATAGAGTATTGTTTTGGATACCCTGAGTTTATTGTTTTTCCATATGAAGTTGAGTATTGTTCTTTTAAGGTCTGTAAAGAACTGTGTTAGGATTTTGGTGGGGATTGCATTGCATCTGTAGATTGCCTGTGGTAAGATTGCCATTTTTACTCTGCTGATCCTACCTTTCCAAGAGCATGGGAGATCTTTCAATTTTCTGGTATCATTCAATGTCTTTTTTCAAAGACTTAAAGTTTTCATCCTACAAATCTTTCACTTTTCTGGTTAGAGTTACCCCAAAATATTTTAGGTTATTTGTGGCTATTGTAAAGGGTGATGTTTCTCTGAATTCTTTCTCAGCCTGTTTATCATTTGTATATAGGAGGGCTACTGATTTTCTTGAGTCAATCTTGTATCCTGCCACTTTGCTGAAGATGTATATTAGTTGTAGGAGTTCCCTGGTAGAATTTTGGGGGTCACTTGTCTAAACTATCGTATCATCTGCAAATAGTGAAAGTTTGACTCTTTCCCTCCTAGTTAGTATCCTCTTGGTCTCCTTTTGTTGTTCCATTGCCCTAGCTAGAACTTTGAGTACTATATTGAAAAGATATGAAGAGAGTGGACACTCTTTTCTTATTCCTGATTTTAGTGGGATTGCTTTGAGTTTCTCTTCATTTAGTTTGATGTTGCTGTTGGCTTGCTGCATATTGCCTTTGTTATGTTTAGCTATGTTCCTTTTATCCCTGATCTCTCTAAGACCTTTTTCATGAAGGGGTGTTGGATTTTGTAGAAGGATTTTTCAGCATCTAATGAGACAATCATGTGTTTTATTTTCTTTCAGTTTTTTTATATGGTGAATTACATTGACAGATTTCTGTATTTTGAACCATCTCTGTGTCTCTTGGAAGAAGCCTATTTTGCCATGCTGAAGGATTTTTTTATGTGTTCTTGGATTTCGTTTGCCATAGAGTTTGTTAAAGGGGGGGAAACAAGAGTGATCCCGAGAGAGAGAGAGAGAGAGAGAGAGAGAGAGAGAGAGAGAGAGAGAGAGAGAGAGAGAGTTGAAGAGGGTAAGAGAGAGAAGGGAGAAGGGAGAAGAGAGTGAAGTGGGAGTGGAAGGGGCCACTGTATGTACCCCGCCCATCATGGGGAGGTGGGGTCAACATAATGTCTGAGGTTCCAACAATCACACCACTTATTATTATTAAAAGGTGGGTGTTGGACGTGGCAAGTTAGGGAATAGGGACTGCTACCTGCTGACCTGGGGGGCGTTGACCGTCTTTGGAGGACCTGTGAAAGCTAGGGTGCTGCCACATCCTGGGGTTCATCTTTGTGTGGTTTGGGTGTCAGGGTAGCTGCAGTCCCATAAAAAGAGTTTGGTAATGTTCCTTGTGTTTCTATTGTGTGTAACAGCTTGAAGAGTATTGGTATTAACTCTTCTTTGAAATTATGGTAGAATTCTGCGCTGAAACCATCTGGCTCTGAGTTTTTTTTTTATTTATGAGAGTTTTGATGACTGTTTCTATTTCCTTGGGAGTTATATTCTATTTAAATTGTTTATCTGCTCTTGATTTAATTTTGGTATGTGGTACTTTTCCATTCTGGATAAGTACCACATACCAAAATTATATAAAAATTGGAACATTTAAAAGAAAAAAATGTCCATTTCTTTTAAATTTTCCAATTTTGTGTAGTATAGGCTTTTGAAGTATGACCTGATGATTCCCTGGATTTCCTCAATGTCTTTTGTTATGCACCCTTTTTCATTTCTGATTTTGTTAATTTGGATATTCTCTTTGTGCCTTTTTGTTAGTTTGACTAAGGGTTTATCTATCTTGCTGAGTTTTTCAAAGAACAAACTCTTTGTTTCATTGGTTCTTTGTATTGTTCTCCTTGTTTCTATTTAATTGATTTCAGTCCTTAGTTTGATTATTTCCTGTCATCTACTCCTTCTGGGTGAATTTTCATCTTTTTGTTCTAGAGTTTTCAGGTGTGCTGTTAAGTCACTAGTGTGAGATTTCTCCACATTCTTTATGTAGGCACTTATTGATATGAATTTTCCTCTTAGCACTGCTTTCATAGTGTCCCATAAGTTTTGGTATGCTGTGCTTTTATTTTCGTTGCATTCTAGGAAGTCTTTAATTTTTTCTTTATTTTTTCCTTGACACATTGATGATTAAGATGAGCATTGTTCAATTTCCATGAGCTTGTAGGATTTCTGCAATTATTTTTGTTGTTGTATTCTAACTTTAAGCCATGGTAGTCTGATAAGATACAGGAGTTTATTACAGTTTTTTTTGTATCTGTTGAGCTTTGATTTGTTACCAAGTATATAGGCTATTTCTCATAAACTTAGAAGGTTATAGATTAACTCTGCTTCCCCTAGTGGCACTACAAACTCCTAGCACCATGAACGTCTGTGCTACAGACTGATATACCTTGAACCATGAAAGAAAATATATCTTTTCTTTATGTAGTTGCTTTTGCCAGGTTGGTCTGGGTATGACTGAAGATCTTGTATTACTAGCAGGCTTCCATGATATGCTAAAAAAAATCATTGGTCTGAAGACAACATTTTGAGCAAACAGGCCTTAAACATGTTTACTTCAATAGTGTTTCAGTGAGCTTTTGTCAGGACATCAATGACAGACATTAGACCCTGAGGTATCTAGTAAGCATTTGTATGTGCAGGGCTCTAGTTTTGTCAGTTGGTGTAGAGTGGCAAAAATGAAATATTTAATTGTTCTGATGAATTGCTGCCCATATTCTGCTTTTTCCAGTGAATGGATGGACAGGAGAATCTGTGGAAATGCAGGCAGATCCAGTGTTGCTGCTATGAATATCAAGATGGT